CTTGGATGTGAGAGTGGTGTAATGGTTAATGGTTCGGAATTGTTAATCGGAGAGCCGAGTTCCAGTTGGGTTCGTTATATTCGCTTACGCGCAAATACCCTTGGGAAAGGCATGAATCCACTTCTTCTCAACCCAAGCTATGGGTTAATTAGTAAGACTTGTATCATTAAAATCATTTTAAAAAATAAATAAATAAAATTGCGTATAAAATATTTAGTTATCAATATAAATAACCCATAGAGGTGTTGATATGCCGTTAAACAAGCACAACCAAACAACCAACAAGCTTAAATAAATTTCGACAAAAAGAAATTTTTAAAGAAAAGATAACAGCATAATGAACTTTAAATTAAATTGCAAGCAATTTAAAAAAAAAATCCTTTAATCATTTTCACCCCAAGTAAGGTGTTAATGCCACTAGTGTGCATGGAGCGGGGGTACAGAGAATGACATTGAAGGAGAAGATTGAGAACAGGGAGGATTGAGGAAAGAACAAAAGATGAACGGGATTCAAGAAGACAGAAGACGACGATTGACGTTGCATTTAATTTTTTGAATATTGTTGTTATCAGGAAAGCAAGTAAGCGGAAGGGAGTTCCACAGGCGGGAAGTACGAGAAAAGAAACTGTTGGAGTAGAAGTAGCGGTTACATTTAGCTATTTCAACAGTAAAAGAGTGGGACCTAGATGCCAAGCTATTAGCCCGTTTAAATCCATGTAGTTGAGGCACTAGGGGAAAAAAGCTCGCCAGAGCAGTTGCCATTAAAATATTTGTAGAAAAGACAGAGAAAGGCCACGTTACGGTGGGAAAGTGAGTGAAGTCGACATGCCTGGTCAGGATCGCTTTATATTATAAACCCTTCTTTGGATTTTGTCAAGAATCTCTAGATGTAGAGCAGCAGCAGCAGCAGCCAAGATATAGCAACAATATTGAATCCAGACACGAATGGTAGATTTGTAAATATGCAAGATGGATTCTGATGAGAAAATGTTTCTGTTTTGACACAGTGACCCAACTTTCCTGAACAAGGCCAAAGAAAATGTTTCTACTTACATGCAATCAGTATTTTTAATATGTTTTTGTTTCATCGTTTCAAAGCGATGAGCAGAAAGCAGGACAATCTCCATGCAGTCACGGATTTCAGCGTGGCCGTGTGGCATTACTTGCTGACAGTCTGCGTCAGGGACTGAAAAATAATGCAATGTGGAAATTATATGAAAAATACACATAAATATGATATGCAATGTTATAGGTCCTGTTCATCACAGCGAATTTCATTTAACCGAAAACTGGCTTCACCGAAATCGTTAAACCGAATCCTTACTTCGTTTAAATGGTTCGCTTCATTGAAAGAGTAAAACGTGGAAAATTAAAGGGGGTGACTTTTATATCTGAAGAGTTTCTATGTACTTTAATCATTTAAAAATTAAGACTTTTTAAGATTAACGAACCCAACATTTCCATGTGAAGAACATCAAACGCAAATCCCCACATGAAGAATAACGAACCTCTGACAAAATATCTTCTGTTTATTAAAAGTAATGTTGGAAATATAAATGAATTAGTTTATTTATCAGGTAATCCCATAAGTTCTGTCCGAATTTTAACTTTTTGTTAAAATGAACGAAATTTAAAGAGGATTTTATAATGCCTAATGGAGCTGAACATTATTTCTATGTTTAGATGCATTTAAACTGATCAAATTTTATTTCAGAGAACAATAAAATTAAATTTTGTTTGATTAAAACTCTGCTAACATGGAAGTACCCAAGAATCATTTGAGGCACATAATGCTTTATGAGTTCAAGAAAGGAAACTCAGCAGCCGAAGCGGCTAGAAAAATTCACTCAGTTTATGGAGAGGAATGTGTGAATGAAAGAACTTGCAGAAGATGGTTTTCAAATTTCAGAGGTGGAGATTTCACCCTTGAAGATGAAGATTGAACCGGACATCCAGTTGAGTTTGATGAAAAGTTTCTTGAAGCAGCCCTTGAAGAAAATCCGAGTTGACATCTGCTCTTCTCTCCATTCTCGCCAACTTCTTTCACCTTTTTTGGATAGATTTGAGACTGGCGACGAAAAATGGATCTTTTATTGAAATGTTAAGCGTCGTAGACAGTGTCTTGGTAAAGGGGAAGGACCCCAGCCACAGCCGAGAAGAGAACTCCATGGGCTAAAGGTTCTTCTTTCAATCTGGTGGGATCGCCAAGGAATAATCCACTTTGAATTCTTACCACCTAATGCAACAATTAATGCTCAAATATACTGTCAGCAATTAGAGCGTTTGAACCAAGCTTTGAGGTAAAAAGACCTGCTCTAGTGAATCGAAAAGGGGTGATGTTTCATCAGGACAATGCGCGACCCCACACAGCAAGAATCACGTCACAAAAGATCAAAGAACTTGGTTGGGAGATAATTCCTCATCCACCTTATTCTCCTGATCTTGCTCCTTCAGACTACCATTTGTTTCGTAGCTTACAGAATCATTTGGAAGAAACAGCTTTTGTAACACAGGAAGAGGTTAAAACTGACTTTTGTGAGCTCTTCGAATCAAAGCCAAAAGAATTTTGCAGTAATGGAATTAGTAAGCTTGTTAATAGATGGAAGGAAGACATAGATAATCAGGGAAAATACATTGTCGATTGAATCTGTAATTAAATGTAACATTTGGTCACTTGTTCTCTTTATTCTAAATTCGGACAGAACTCATGGGATGGCCTGATATAAAAGAAAATTAAAATAACATATAATTAACTTTCCACAAAAGACATTTAAATAAAATTCGTGAATGAAAGGATATTGTATGGTGATTGCATTCAGTCAGTTACGTGCCTTGCTTAGGCGTTTATGTAGCTTTTGATACATGACTGACGCGGCAGATTTTTCCCCGCAGTAGCTTGCCATGTCTTTCTGTGGTAGGCCATATAGAATCCAGTATGTACTGCTATTTACTCAAAGCTGGGGAAAGGATTTATATCTTCCCCAAGGGTATTAGCACATAAGTGAATGTAATGGATTCGAACTCGGTTCTCCACTTCCTCAGTCCGAACCGCTATCCATTACTCCAGCGTATTTCGTTCTATCCACATGAACTGATTGAAATAACATGGTAGAAAATGGCGTCTGCATCCTAGTCTTTCATAGGAATTTCACACATAATCGTCCAGACTGCACTTTGTCTAATTCATAAATGTATTTACATGATTCACACTTGTATGTCCCGTCGAATAAATGATTTGTTCTTCATCCAGTCAATCACTGATAAACTATCCTCCCCAAGTAATGGATCCATAGACTCTGTAAACGTAAATCTATCCATTTTGTGGGTTTCTGGATATCTGAATTAATAAATTAAAACCAGTATATGAAAACAGCTATTAAAACTTAAAGTTACTTCTACCAAAATGTTGATGTCTAGACCAGCGAACCCAATTATTCTCATGTGAAGAATAACGAATCCAATCACCTTATAAAGAATAGCAAACGCTGCCGTAAGTGGGTTCGCTAATTTTGACAAGATTAAAAAAATATACCGGTCAATTCGATTGATATTAATTTACGACAATGAATGCATAACCGTAGCAACTTAGCTGGTTTTAAAAACGGAATTATTTAATACTGCAATCAGTTAAGCTCAGAAAATTAATTATTATCGCAATGGAAAGTATAAATAAATAAAATGGTCAATATATAAATATTAAGATATTTTGTTTAAAAAAAGAGTAATATGAATAGATAGAGGAAACATTTTTGAAAATTTAATTTGTTTACGCAGTTATTTTGGATGAGGATAAATATTTAAAGGACTTGTTTTTTAAATATTCATAAATAAAGCCAAAATATAAAGCAATATTTCTACGTAAAGGAAGATTTCATTGAAAAATTTATGCCAAAAAAGTATTCGTTATTGTGAATGAATAAAAAGCAACCGAATTAATCAGTAAAATCTTTAAATGATACGTAATTTTAAAAAACACTATTTACACACACACACACACACACACACACACACACACACACACACACACACACACACACACATACATACATACATACATATATATGTTTTAATTTGAAAGACAGTTTTGGGGGCCCAAATTGCTGGTTTTTCAGTGGTTTACTGATAAGGAAGTATTTAAGGCAAGCAGGCTCTGTGGTAAAGCGTTTAATATCGAAGATAAAATTAGAGAGTTAATAGAATTATTTAAAAAAAGTTTTTTCGCTTAATTCATGTTTACTTTGTTCGAAGTTGAACTCTGTTCTGACGAGTAGCCGCGTCTGTGAGGCCACGGAACTTCGAAGTAAACATGAATTAAGGGAAAAAGTTTTTTAAAATGATTATCACTGATTGAATAAATTACAGACGTTATGCTAATTTTTAACAAAATCCGTTCATACTCACGAATAACTTTCTGTCTATTGATACTGAAGGATGAAAGAAATGTGCTATAACTGTTTAAATTTTTTTTATTTTCATTTCCCAAGTACTACTTGCACTCCTGAAGATGATCTTGGAAGAAGATCGAAAGGAGGAAACGCGTCACGCGAAAACGTTTTTCTCTTTGTCATAATTTTTCCCTATAATTGTTTTTGATATATACAAATTGATTTATTGTTTTTTTCCATTGAAGTTGTTGCAGGTTTCTTGCTTTTACAAGACCTTTTTTGGTCTCATGTGTTTTTAATTGGATTCAACTCAGACTCTCTGGAAAAGTTTTAGTCCGCTGTTACTAAATTGCCACAAATTTCTACTTTTCCCCACTTCATATACATAGTAATCAATCTATTTGCTTCTCTTGCTCTTAAAAGTCTCTTCTATTCATCCAACGAGTTTTCACTTGTATTTAAGTCATAGCACTATAAAGGCCAAGGTTGAATTCTTATCTTGATAATATTTCTGGATTCGATTTATAAGTGTTTAATCGTTGTCTTGGTTAAATCGCCAACTACGCTTCAGTTTCTGATTTGGAACGAACACTTTTCACGCTGATATCCCATATT